TTACCCCCGTTTTCCCGGGTACTGCGTGGATGACCAGGAAGGAATCTGTGCACAGAATAGTGGACATAATGTATTTTTACTGAAATGACTGACAGAAGTTTGCGTAGAAAGGTTGTTTGGAGGAATGGTCCCTTTTGGGGCGGAACTTTTTCAGGACCGCTTTATTAAAGGGCGAGCGGCATATTCTTTAATTATATAGTTGGTGTACAGCGTGCAGTATTGTACATCTCTAGCTCATAAATATATTAGTAACGTGTGTACCATTTCTTTTAGTTCACATCATCGCAGAATGTGTTTACGTTTTCTGTCACCTATAGTCTTCAATGAAACACGATTTCGTACCAAAATGTGTAGAAAGATAAATAATTGTGATTGGGAACAATAAAAAAAAAAAACTGTAGAGATAGAAGAGTTGACAAAAGAAAGAGATGTGAGGGGAATGTATCTAAATATAGCACAGGAAAAGAACGACTTTCAAGCTAGATCACACATGTGTAAAAGTTTTGATCACTGAGTGCAGTAAGGCAGTAGAGTGGTTCTCAACCTGTGGGTTGCGACCCCTTTGGGGTTCGCACGACCCTTTCACGGGGGTGGCCTAAGACCATCTGAAAACACACATACTCTACAGTTATGAAGTATCAACGAAAATAATTTAATGATTGGGGTGTCACCACAACATGAGGAGATGTGTTAAAGGGTTAGAAATGTTGAGAACCACTACACTAGAGAGATAGGCATACACTTTGAAGGGATGCTAAATCATATGGAAGAGCAAATGAGGATAAACATCATAGTCCCAAAAGAATGGAGTACTGCGCTCGTAATGCCAACAAAATGAGGTAATGCACTCATAATCCCAATTCAAAAGAAAGGATTTAAGATGGATCGCTCAAATTATAAAAGGAATCTCACTACTTAATGTACGTTTGAAAATCCATCCTAAATTAACAGCAAGTAATCTGGAAAGGTTTATTGCACAGATCTTAGGGGACCACCAATGTGGATTCCTTACAGAACAGATCAACCCCCATATCATATATTTACTGTTAGATGGAGCAATGCTAGGGAGACAACATCAACATACCCCAACTATTTGTGGATTACAAAACAGTTTACATTACAGACAGACAATAAATGTGCGCTACACGAACTTGGAGTCTGTATTATGCTTAAATATATGTCTTTTTCAATGCATGATTCTTTTTTATTTCCTTAAAAATGAGCATTCCATCACAAAAATCATTGCTAACATCATTTTAAATGTTGAACGAAAATAAAATAAAAATATGTACCCGTATATTTCTAAATATTTCCGAGTCTTACCACAGCCATAAAAATATAAATAAATGTAATGTAGAAAGGTCCATACATTTGAATGGGTTTTTACTGTCCGCGGGATCGAAGCGTCTCCGAGGAAAACTTGGGTGGCGTCCACGTGCAGTTTTGCCCCTTCGTGACATGGCAGACTAGTAGGGAGGTTTCCTCCCGAAGCTAAAAACTCCGGTCACTGGATGACTCCCAACGCAACGGGAGGAACGCAATAAAATGATGACTTGTTGCCGTTAATGGATATGAGGTCTGGGTGAAGTTCAAAACCCTTGTCGATGATTTTTAGCTACGCGGCCCTGAGAAAGCCGCACCTAGGCGACCGTTTCGTCCCCGCTTACGTCCCAACCGGACAACTCTGGTATATATATATTTACTTTCTACTGTATTTTCATCTAAAAATCTAATTTTAAAAAAATCAAATAGCATAAATCCGCAGTCGCTATGTAAGATTCAAACCTGCGCCGTTAGTGTGTCCAGCATAGGGTCCTGCTGCGGTGGTGGCTTTTCCGTACGCAAATTTGTATGTGGGCGAAGCTTCCGCCACCAAACTACACATGGAATTTTCAAAATGACATCTGGCTTGTGCGGCTGAAAGAGAGATCTCCAATTGAAATAGTAGCCAGTTACATCATATTTTTTTCCCTAAAGCACGTTCAGGGTAAATAAACATATCATTGGTAATAAAATCCTTATTCAAGCACTTCTCGTTGAGCCCAGTGGTTCTCAAAGTGGGTGGTTGTATGTCAAAGAGGGACAATAAAAATGTTCATTAGATTTATGGGGGGGGGGGGGCTGAGACTGCCTAAGTGGGCTGTAGTGGATTATATCAGAAAAGCTTCTGTTATTTGTAAAGATGTCATGCTTTTATGATTAGCAGCATTGAAAAGGGGACACTATTCAGATGTAATATAACTTTTCGGGCGTAATTTTTGTTCTCAAAGTTTAGAGTGTCGGATGAAAATCTCGTTCAACTTTTGGTTTTTGGCTTTGGTTTCGGCCGAATGACTTCATGACACCTATACGTTTTATGTCTTTGGTTTCGTCGGTCTTGATTCATTTAATGAGAGAAGGCTCAGAGCCAAGCATAGTACGCCCGTGCTTATGTTTGACTACTTGATCAATTCAAGAAAATTCAAAAGGCTATTAGACATAGACGAATTATTTTATTTTTTTTAAAAATACAAATGCCTCTCTCGGTGCTGTCTCCAAAGCCATCCTTGCTACTATCCGAAATAGTAGAGACATTCAATGAAGATGAATTTAACGTTCGTGGGAAATGAGGTCAATTTTATTAAAACCCAAATAAAACCTCTCTACGTCGTCATGTAAATGAATTGTTCGGGCGATACTGGCCAGTATTCAAACCCGATTGATCTAGAGGAGAAGGGGAATGATAAGATCATTATAACCCTAACCCGGTAATCTGTAAGCACCCGGCGACCATTTGAATTTGGTTAAAACATCTATGTCTAAACGTTTTTACGGTCAGCTATAATAGAAATTTTTAGATTGGGCGATAAATCCATTTTCAGATGCAGATGAATTAGGGTAATCTGGTTGAAGGCCTAATGCAGCTTAAAAATGATATTGAGCTAAAGCTGAAGAAATCGTGGCAAGAGTTTTGACTTCAGAAGAACAGTTCATGCAATTATCATGCGCTGCTGTGGGGTGTGGTTTAAAAAGGTCCATGTTGTAGTTTAATTATTGTATTTGATGGAAGCTTGTTTTTTTCATTTCCTTCAGTTAAAGAAATATAATCAACTTTTTCTGAGAGCGCTGATATTACTAGAGTCGTCCTAACGGGGCGTTGAACAGGTGGCAGCACTGCACTCAGCCCATGCAAAGCATACAGTAAGAATATTTGGTCGATGCAGAAGTAAGTTTTTATTACTTTTTGTGCTTAATCATAAATCATAATCCTACTGTTACAAAATAACATTTCATTGTGGTTTTTTTTTGTTGTTACCTTCCTTTAAAGTTGTGAAAACGCCTGCCCCTGAAAAATGACATTTTTTGGGTGGCACGTGTTTTGGGGGTGAGGGCGTTAGGGGGTGGGCCGGTGGCCGAAAAAACGAAGAAAAATTTTGTTTAAGAACCACTGGTTTAGGCTATTAGTAGATTAATAATATTAAATTTTGTTTTAAAAAAATTGTCTAAGGTCACGTGACTTACTTGGCTGGGTAATGTGTGTCGTATCTAAGAAAAGGAAAAAAAAATAAAATGACGAATAAAACAAGTCATCAAGCAAACCATTTGTTTTCTGTTATACTTAGAGTGCTGTGAACGTTACACTGACTTGAAGTATTTTCAACCAACCGCTTATAGCGTCATTACTTTTGACAGTAGGAACTAGCAGACTTGTATGTATTGGTTTGAATTGTCAGGGTAAGGACTTTCGCTGTAGAATCTTGGGATTATTTGAAAGGGTCAACAACAAGTTCACAAACGCTAATACCCCCCCCCCAACCTACAGTCCCCCCTCCCCCAACCAACAAACCCACTTTCGGACAATGGTATTACAATTTAGACTAAAATTAAATCTTAATACCTGCTTCTGTGAAGTCGACAAGGATGAAAGAACTTGATGAATAGAATTGTAAGTAACCAACCAAAGTCTAACAAGGGTTGCTAGGTTGTTCTTGCTTTTTTTTTCCTTTTCATCCCACATCTTATCAGATTAAGAATTTATAGTAGATATGTGTCTAAAGCATTTGCCTTTTTTTTTTTAATGAAAGAAAATTCAGAAAATTAAGTAATATGCTCTAATTTTAAAAATGAGGAGCCTATACATAACTAATTTCTTGGTGTTTTTTTTTTTTCAAGCTATCCACCAGCAAGGGTTTGAGTAACCGACCAGCATGACAGGCACAAAGCTCCGTGCAGTGGTGAGGAAGTCCTCCAAAGAAAGGTCACCTCACTAATTGTGCAGTTGTTTAGGATCAAGCCCCGTCTTTTGATTCCAGCTACAACATACTTTCTTTACTATTTCATTCAGCGTATGATGCACACCACACATCCACTACTCAACCCCCACCCCCCCCCCCAACCGCCATTCGTTTTTACGCTTAACGCGTCCCATCATGGCGTACCTTCATGCCACCCGTACAATCATCCACGTCCCATCTTAGCGTACCTTTATGACACCCGTACAGTCACACACTTCCCATCTTAGCTTACCTTCATGACACCCGTACAGTCCCACACGTCCCATCTTAGCTTACCTTCATGACACCCGTACAGTCACACACGTCCCATCTTAGCTTACCTTCATGACACCCGTACAGTCCCACACTTCCCATCTTAGCTTACCTTCATGACACCCGTACATTCACACACGTCCCATCTTAGCTTACCTTCATGACACCCGTACAATCATCCACTTCCCATCTTAGCTTACCTTCATGCCACCCGTACAATCATCCACTTCCCATCTTAACTTACCTTCATGACACCCGTACAGTCCCACACGTCCCATCTTAGCTTACCTTCATGATACCCGTACAGTCACACTTCCCATCTTAGCTTACCTTCATGACACCCATAAAGTCACACGCGTCCCATCATGGCTTACCTTCATGACACCCGTACAGTCGCTGTATCTCCAGCACATCGGTGGGTGACAGGTTGACTCGCTGCCCCAGTCTTGCGTTAGCCGGAGCTTTCCCAGCCTTCGGGGTTATCACGGGTTTGGTGTGATCAATGGCGAAGGCGTAAGGACCGTAGTGCATGATGGAGTTGAAATCATAGGCGGTGTTCTGGTTGGTTACTCTGGCTGCATTCGAAACGGCAAAGGCAAACCGGTACTCTGGGGGGAGAATGGTAATCATTTTCGAAACGACAAAGGCAAACCGGTGCTCTAAAGGGGGGGGGGGGGGGGGGGGGGGGGCGGGGGGGGGGGGGGGGGGGGGGAGGGGGCGACTGGTACTCTGGGGGAAAAAGGTAATCACTTTTTTTGATGTTGACATGTAACAATGGAATTATGCTATTTGTGTATTTTATAATATTATAGATATGTATTATTATCATAACAAATGGCGGAACCCCCTTAAAAGTCCCCCCCCCAACATTCCCCTCTTTTACCCTTTCACTGACGCCGTCTGGTTAAAGGCGCTCTTCGTGTATTAAATTATTTCAAATGTGGAAAGACACGATGTTTGCATGAGGTGTGGACCTGTTTAATATCACCTGATGACGAGCGACCGGTGGTAGTTTCTTGTCACAAAGGTAGCTGTAGCGTACCCACAAAGGGAGAAGTACAGACGCTTAACTTTTGATCTCATTTCTATTTATTTTTTTCCCCCTGTTTTTGTTTGATGAAGAATGCTTTTAGACACAACGTTCTCTTTTTCTTATCATGCTCTTTCATGTCAAACCTTAAACATAGTTTTTTTTCTGTTAGTTCCAGTGGGAGAGAAAAAGGGGGGGGGGGGGGGATTTACGTAAAAAATACTTGGTTTTAGTTAGATTTTTTTTTTCCATCGAAATAATTTCTGGAGAAAAAAACAAACAACTTGGCTTAAGATGAGTTAAATAGAATTGGGGAAATTCAAAAACGTGACGCCTGCACTGCTTGTCTCGTTTCATGCTTTTAAGAAGTACCCAGATCAAAACGTAATGGTATAAATCAGGGCTGCCACACCTTGGGGAATTTTCCCAACATCTTGGGAATTCACTACCCCATTCAGGTCCAAAACTCGCTTTTTTTTTTTTTTTAAATCCCAAGATTTAAAAAAGAAAAAAACTTCTATATATATTCATGTTCTTGGGAAATATTGGGAAATATTTTGACAAATCTTGGGAATTTTCAAAAAATTGAGTGGTAACCCTGGTATAAATAAATCAAAGGATAGGCGCTAAGAGAGGGGTTCTAAAGATAAGCCATCTGGTCACCCATCATCGGCACCATCGTCAAATGTGTGACATTTATTCTCTTGTTGAAGTCAACCTTAATTAATTTTGTTTTTAAATCTTCAAAACTGATACTAGCGCTGTTCCTGTTCATTGTGAAAACATGAATATTTTAAGATCTTCCCTTCATCAACATTGTCTCATAAGATACCATTACCTGCTAAGACGTTTTCCAGGTGGATGTTGATGTAACTGTCCCTGTCCGTGCGTTCGTGCTCGTGATTGAAGCCGAGGCTGTGGATGAGCTCGTGCATGATGGTGCCTTTGGCCACGCAGCCGGGGCCGATGGACACTTCCTGTTTTCCTTTGTTCATGTTGCCAACAGCTGAGTGGCACCTGGTTGGAGGAGGGAGATATTTGGGTCATGTGATAAGAATAGTTCATTTATTATTTTACTTCGTGGAATTCAAATACTAATCTCTAGACTTCTAATAAGTGCGTCTTAGTCTAGGAGTGTATTTTAATTTACGCCCCCCTCACACAAGATCAATGCCCCCACTCCACCTGTCAAAACTATCGCACGTTCTTTGACACCCCCTCCCCCACCCCAGGAGCGTGAAGGGGAGAGGGGTTGGGTTGCCACACTTTTTACATGTCTACCCGTCATTAATTGAATTTTAATTTTGTTTTAAATGAAGAGACATTTTACTCGCTGCAGTTTAATTCAGTTACGGTTAATATGGTATGAGTTGAAAGAAACGATTAGATACCAATTTATGACATATAGTCGCTTCTTAAAGTGTCATACAGCCCCACACATTCGGTTGGTTTGTTAAATAGTATTGGGGAAGTTTTCCACATCATGTTTTGTTCATTTACTTAAGTTCATGCAAGTGTACTTAGACAAAATAAAGTAAGTGAAAATGTGTGTTTCTTAGTTCACTTAGCCGGAACATGGTATGCATGCAGTGTAATGTATAGACTAATTCCAGGTTTAACATATACATATTACAAATTATTTTTTTATATCAAATTTCTTTTGTTAAATTGACTATTCTGAAAAAGGTTGGGGGGGGGGGGGGGAGGGATAAATGACTTCTAACTATTCCACAGAGAAAGCATCGGTTTCACCAGAGTAGAATTAGGTTTGCATCTTACATTTTAAGAAAGTAAAAAGATGGCATTTTACACTTTTACACTAGTGCCAGTCAACATTACATTTTGACAACCAATATCTTCGTAGGTAGACTAATTATTCTAGAACTTTCAAATAGTATGTACAAACATTTAGTGATGCATAGAACAAACTAAGTCAGAAATGCAGAGAACAAACTCAGTTAGGCATGCAATAGAACAAACTCAATTAGTAATGCATAGATCAAACTCATGCAGTAATGTAATATAACAAGCTAATTTTCCTAAGGGTTTAAATCGTTGATAGGAAACAAACATTTATTAATCAAAAACTGAACCTCTATAGATCATAAGTTTGACAGTCCCTTTTGCAAACGAAACCCAAATATTAAACACGTGGCGCGAAATGCGTGTCTAAAAATGTTTCAATTAGTATGAACAGTTTCGAAAGTGCTGTCTCTAGCGTATTATAAAACCATATGAAGATGCGCCTTTCATTGCAATTCCAGAAACCGTACCTATTAATATTTTCTATATAACTAATCTCTGGCGACAACATACTATGTGCTTATATCTTGGTGACCACATAAATGTGCCTATAACTAGGTGAACACATAAAATGTGCCTATAACTAGGTGAGCACATACAATGTGCTTATAACTAGGTGACCACATACAAAGTGCTTATAACTAGGTGACGACATACAATGCGCCTATAACTAGGTGAAGGCATACAATGTGCTTATTATTAGGTGAGCACATACAATGCGCCTATAACTAGGTGAAGGCATACAATGTGCTTATTATTAGGTGAGCACATACAATGTGCTTATAACTAGGTGACCACATACAATGTGCTTATTATTAGGTGAGCACATACAATGTGCTTATAACTAGGTGACGACATACAATGTGCTTATAACTAGGTGACCACATACAATGAGTTTATAACTAGGTGACCACATGCAAATTTTTTATAACTAGGTGACCACATAAAAGTGCTTTTAACTAGTTGACCACATACAAAGTACCTATAAATAGGTGGCCACATTTAGAAAGTGATTTTCTGATTTCGGCCGAAGCCGAAAATAGGCCGAAAGTTTAAAATGACTTTCGGCCGAAACCGAAAATAAACCCAATGTTTAAAATGACTTTCGGCCGAAACCGAAGCCGAAACCGAAAATGAAATATTTAGATATTTTGAAATTCGTTCCCGCATACATTCTGCATACAGCGAAAATGATGTGGGGAAAGTATAAATATTTACATTCTTTTTATAAAAAATGAGATAATCGTGTATATTAATAAATAAACATCTAATATAATATCTTGTTGTTAAAGATCGTTTAGTTTGTTCTTAAAGATCGCTTAGTTTGTTTTTAAAGATCGTTCAGTTTTTTGTTAATGATCACTTTATTTTGTTTTTTTAAGATCGCTTAGTTTGTTCTTAAAGATCGCTTAGTTTTTGTTTAAAGATCTTTTAGTTTGTTATTAAAGATCATTTAGTTTGTTCAAAAAAGATCGCTAAGTTTTTTCTTAAAGATCGCTTAGTTTGTGTTATTAAAAGATCGTTTAGTTTGTTCATAAAGATCGCTAAGTTTGTTCTTAAAAATCATTGATTTTGTTCTGAAATATCGCTTATCTGTTCTTAAAGATCATTCAGTTTGTTCTTAAAGATCATTCAGTTGTCCTTAAAGATCATTCAGTTTGTACTTAAAGATCATTTAGATTGTTAATAAAAATCGTTTGGTTTGTTCTTAAGATCGCTTATTTTGTTGTTGAAGATCGCTTAGTTTTTTCATAAAGATCGCTTAGTTTTTTCTTGTATATAATTGATTTTGTTCCTTAAGATCGATTAGTTTGTTCTTAAAGATCTTTTAGTTTGTTCCTAAAGAACATTTTGTTTTCTGTTAAAGATCGCTTAGTTTATTCTTATAAATCATTTATTTTACTATTAAAGATCATTTGTTTTGTTCTTAAAGATCATTTAGTTCGTTCTTAAAAATCGTTTAATTTGTTCTTTAAGATCGTTTAGTTTTTTATTAAAGATCACTTAGATTGTTCTTAAAGATCGCTTAGTTTGTTCTTATAGATAATTGATTTTGTTCCTTAACATTGATTAGTTTGTTCTTAAAGATCTTTTAGTTTGTTCCTAAAGAACATTTAGTTTTCTGTTAAAGCTCGCTTAGTTTATTCTTATAAATTATTTAGTTTACTATTAAAGATCATTTGTTTTGTTCTTAAAGAAAGTCTAAGTTAATTTCGGCTGAAACCGAAAAAAAAACGAAAGTTAACTTTTCTCTTTCAGCCAAAACCAAAATTAAGCCGAAAGTTAACTTTCAGTTTCGGCCGAAACCGAAACTTGGCCGAAAGTGATAAAATGGCCACTTTCGGTGCCGAAACCGAAGCCGAAATTCGGTCGGTCTCTCTACCACATACACTGTGTCTATAACTAGGTGACCACATACAATGTGCTTATAACTACCGGGGTACGCATAAGAAGCTTTCCGAAATTGATATGGTTGAATTTCATGCGAGGGGGTGGGACCACTTTTTCACAAACTCTTTCCAATTCTTGTTTGACCCCGATGAACAAAAAACGCACCAAATTCCGGAGTTGACCTCCATGTAGTTGGCCTGTGCTACTCACCCAATTCCTGAAGTGACCTCTATGTAGTTTGCCTGCGTCGTCCTTGGTACGAACTTGATGCACGTGGCGGGTCCGTTGACGTCATGTTCTATCTCTCTCATGGCCGCTATGATGAGGTCGTGGACTGCTGCCGCTGTTGACAGAATATGGCGGGTGTTATATACATTTTGTTTACAGATATGAACGAACGGAAATTATCGAGATGGTTAACAGAACAAGGGAGTAAGTCTGGGAATGAACCGAGCGCCACAAAGGGGAGATGATCAAGCCACTTCTGGGAGTAGAAAAAGAAAAGTTTTTAAACAGTGTTTTGGTCCAAGTCCTCATTTCGGTGGGAGTCTAGGAGGCCAGCTGGACAATATGGGTGCGATTCTGTGGACATATGGGTGATGTTGTATTGTGACAGATGGATGGCTTAATGTGTATGCCCAAGTAATTAGTTGACGGCTTCAAACTTGATTTCGTTAATGGGTCGAAAATGAGAAATACAGACGTGTTGCCGAAAAAACATGATTTTCTGTTTGCGCAAGCACAAAAAAAAGCCTTCAAACCGGTGGGAGTGCGTTTAGAAGAAGAAACACTGCGATTGGTGGAAATGGGTTTAGCATGAAAAAAGCACCTTAATTTAGTTAGTAGAAACATAAAATGGTTCATAAAGCAAGAAAACGAGTACTAAGCACGTGACAGAAAAAGAAAATGATTTGTGTACGAATAATATACGTACAGTAAGTGCTGTTTATCACATACGGCACTTGGCCATGTGTCCAGTGGCTGGCAGGACTGGCCACGGCATTTTTGTGCTGAGTTTAAAATAAATGTAAATATTATAAGTAACCACAATTTTAACGACATTATTTTGGCTTTCATATTTATAACATCTTTATGACATTTATAAAGTTTATAACATAACCTGTGAAATCAGCCCTTTTCTTCCTAATCAACGCATGACAATGAGCATTTTAAAAAAAATAATTAAATAACGCATCTTTAAACATTTGATTGTCAGATTGCTCAGTAATTCTAACTGACCAGGTCAAGCTCCATGTCGTCGACTATAACAGTACCGCGATCTGTGAACACCATTCCACCGCTAGTGGGGTCTGCAACCTCCGGCCTGTCTGTTGGAGTTTAGAAATAAAATCCTTTAGCTGTTAACCTTTTTTTAAAAAAAAAAAAAAACTGTTTACGGCGTTCCTAGTCCTTACAAAAATTATTAGGGTTTTATAGCAATCTATGTAGTTGTAAATAACAATCCACCGCTAGTGGGGTCTGTAACCTCCGGCCTGTCTGTTGGAGTTTAAAAATAAAATCCTTTAGCTGTTAACCTTTTTTTAAAAAAAAAAAAAAAACTGTTTACGGCGTTCTTAGTCCTTACAAAAATTATTAGGGTTTTATAGCAATCTATGTAGTTGTAAATAACATACAGTATTTACGACATAATAAAGTATAAACATATGTCAGTAAGGCTATTACCGGTACATTAACCTTACAGCTAATAAAGAAAACCAGCCTATAAACATTATGATCAATATCGGAAATCAAAATGACTATTTGAAAACAAATGAACTAGTGTTATTTAAGCCAATTACAAGCTCAAACGCGTAAAATAGTTCAGTTAAATAAAAAATATTCCTAAAGAAGACCAGAAATTAATAATCCCAAATCGATACAAATGACATATATCTTATAGGGCCCTCTACCATTCAGGGCCCTCTATTATAACAGAGCCTTCTAGAATTAAAACATTTTACATCCCCTAAGTGATTTTAACACATGACTTAATTTAGTACTTTTGATGAAGAGAATGTAATTAAAGTTAAAGGTACAAATCTCTACCTACCGTAATCAATCACTGTCACCTGAAAATAAATTACATTGAAAAATAAAAAATGTGCTTGCTTTAATTTTTTAACGCTGATTTCAATGAGCAGGTCAAAGATTTCAGTGACCAAGTCAAAGATTTCAGTGACTAAGTCAAAGATTTTAATGACTAAGTCAAAGATTTCAATGACTAAGTCAAAGATTTCAATGACTAAGTCAAAGATTTTAATGACTAAGTCAAAGATTTCAATGACTAAGTCAAAGATTTCAATGGCTAAGTCATATATTTCAATGACTTAGACAAAGGTTTCACTGATCTTTTCTAAGATTTCAATGACTAAGTCAAAGATTTCAATGACTAAGTCAAAGATTTCAATGACTAAGTCAAAGATTTCAATGACCTTTTCAGATTTCAGTAACCAAGTCAATTATTTTTTAATCTTTAATCTTTAATCCGAGATTTACCAACAGCTGAGGAAACTTTTTAGCATGTTGTATATGTGTTATTAGTTATCAATGCTCTTTTGTTATAATACAGCAAGCAACATTGCAACAACATACGGATCCATAGTGTTAAGCTTTAATTAACACCACTACTTTATTTCATTTCGGTGAAGTTTGTAAGGCGCCCAGGGATGTGCCCAACAAATTAAACCTGTGGTAAAGCCTCAACATGGCGCTCAATAAAAATAAATATTATAAATCGTTCTTGTGTGTAACCATGAACAAAAATTTCAAAGCGAAAAATTACATTTTTTTTTGGGGGGGGGGGGGGGGGAATAGGAAAAAAAGTTTTTTTTTTNCAGAGTTTTTCGCAAAGTGGTTTCTTATTGGATCATGTAGTTTTAAGTTGAACCCAACATGTTTGAGGTGATGAAGAGGAAAGTATTTGGCTGCTCTCCAGAGTCAGGTTATCGATGTTTTTTTTTTTTTTTTTTATTATAATGTTCGACTTATGTCTTGAGAAATATCAATAAATATTTTTTGTTTAAAAATTAAAGGAGGTTCTCAAAGGCTAATACTTAATGGTACCGGGGCGCCTTATGTAAAAATAAATATTCATGTTTTGGTGTTTGTTTTGTTTGTGGTTTTTTTGTTGCTTTTTTTAGGCCAAGTGGCATTAGTTAAATCTAATTTTTAAAAATGAACTCAAATAACTATTTTAATTTACGAGTTGAATACTCGACAAACTTGTTGAAATGTGTCAATTAATTTGTTTTTAAATTATACTTTCAAAATCAATGATTTTTTTCCATAACAAAAAAAAGGAAACCTATTTTTCAGGCCCCGAAGGCATTGTGGGACCCCCAAAGCATTGTGGACCCCCAAAGCAATGTGGGACCCCAAGGCATTGTGGGACCCCAATGCATTGTGGGACCCCAAGGCATTGTGGGATGTCAAGGCATTTTGGGACCCCAAGGCATTGTGGGACCCCAAGGAATTGTGCACTGCAATGTCGCTGATGACAAACCTAATGTACTTCATGTGAGTGACGACAACACTATTTGTAAACAACGCGTCTTGTCTCCAGGACTCAATTATTTCACGGGGTTCTCTCTGACGCCCTTCATATAATGAATACCCGTCCTGTCTACCACACCAATACCTACTTCAAGAACATCCAATGGTGCGGCTAGAACACAGGTGAGCCCCATCACGATTACAAAAAAAGATACCATTCTCTCCATCTTGTGTGTGAGTACCACCTTCAAGCCGCCGGGCATACAACCCAAGAATTTGACTTATATAGTCTTCTGCGGGTCATTTTCTTATCAATCGCTTCATCAATGCAGACTGACCTTCTTGAACCGAAGCGATTAACTGGGTCATAGTTAAGTGATTGCAACTTTTTGGGTCTTTAAATATAGATATGTATATATATATAATCATATTTAATCATAAACCTTTAACGATTAGAAGACGGACAAAACCTGATAGGGATTTTATATCTTTTTTTTAAACGTCAGTTTTTGAAAAGTTTCAATATGAAGCATAATTGAATAAGTATGAAATGCCTGTTAATCACGACAGCTGGTCTGTTGACTATACTACGCTCATCTCAATTTGAAAGGTAATGTATTTATTTATATAAATATTCTGGTACAATATTGTAACCCTATGAGATCTGATGTGGCCAAAAGATCTGATGTGAAAAAATGATCTGATGAGACCGAAAGATCTGATGTGACCAAAATATCTGATGAGACCTAAAGATCTGATGAGACCAAAAGAGTTGATGTGACCAAAAGATCTAATGTGACCTAAAGATCTAATTGGCCCCAAAAGTCTGATGTGATATAAAGATATGATGTGCCCTAAAGCTCTCGTGTGGCATAAAGATCTGATGTGACCTAAAGATCTGACGTGTCCTAAAAAACGTCCTATTTATTCTAATCACAGTTCAATATCCTCACTAACTCTTAAAACACCCGCAATAAACTCTATCGATTTCATTATTTTATACAATCGTGTTTCTAATTCGTCTTTAGTTTGAGAACCTCCTCATTTTTTTTTGTTTCTCCTGGCCTCCAAAAAGTACGGGCCGTTTGATAGCCCGGATGTTACATGGATTTCCTATCTATGTGACGTCCGTGCCATACAAACTTCTTTTTTTAACCTTTCTTCTAGCGTGGTGTTAGAGCAGATGTTAAGATGTATTACAATTGAGGTTACAAGATCTCAGTGAGAACTTGGGACTCGTCGCTTTCTACATAATTCAACTCATCACTGGTCCACTTTCAACAGGGCGAGTGTCCATCAACTGTTTTGTCGGTGAATTATCATTTTAAGTGTACCTTAAGGTTAAGATAGGGAGAAAGAGCCGGAGAGAGCGAGAAGGTTGGTGTGGTGTGGGGGGTGGGGTGGGAGAAATAAGTCAGAAATTAAAACGCTTCAATCATGTGTACATCATTGTAAATGGAGCTACAGTTTTTAAAAACTTGTTGGTATGTCATTTCCGTGTATAACACACATACTTAAGTGTATATCACACATACTTAAGTGGATAACAAACATACTTACGTTTATAACAAACATACTCAAGTGCATAACAGACATACTCAAGTGCATAACAAACATTCTTAAATGTATAACAAACATTCTTAGGTGTATAAAACACAAACTTTAAGGTTTTTAACCAAGGGAGGCCAGGTTGTTTGCATTTTGTTCTTGTGGATGTTCGGGAAAATAAACTGAAAGTCAAAGCGGGATGCGGGCAGTGTCTTGAAATCAAGAAGAGGGTGCGTCGTTGCAGATAGACTAAGAACCTCTGACATATACCATAAGACTGGTGATATCATAACAGTTTTTGCCCATTATAAAATGTCAAATAGACAAGCCGGACGAAATATCAGATTTCACCCTTACCAATTATCATGTCACTATGCTTTTTTGGTCTTCTCTTTTTTCAAGACTTTTCAATGTTTTTAATCAAATGTGTCATTTTTACCTGTATATTTTGGTATTGTTTTCTATTGAATCGTTATTCAAGTTCCTTACTGGAAATTTTTTTTAATTAGTTTTTTATTTTAAGACAGAAATTAGTTTCAAGCCATGAATAACTGATAAACGTCCACATGTACACAGCACAAGTATATTGAAATCAGATATTATTCCTGAAACGTTTTATTCGATCACAATGTGGAAATCGATCATTGAGAAAAACAGTGTAATCAATGCTTCGTGTGGAATGGGAACGTCGTCATGATGTTTCTCCGCAGTCTCTTCAGGTGTGGGCTGACAGCCTGAAATAAAACAACACGAAAACGTCATGTCATGACTGACAAGTAGGTCGGTCTGTGAGAATCGTACGAATTTTTTTAAAAATAAATTTTAGTTTAATTTACTTTAGGAATAATGGCAATAATTGTTACAGTGCGATCTATATAATCATGATTGTCAATAATTCTCACCCTCTTGCTTTGCTTAAATCGAAATATCAACTTAAAAATTTAAACCGAAGGACATTTTTCAAAAATTGTTGAGAAAATTTGACAGACATTGATGGGACTATTTTTTTATTAAACTTCCGTTAGGCCACGTATAACAAAACGTTTGTACGTTAAATTATGTTATACATTATTTTAACCATTTCATTTCAATGTTTTACCACAAATTTAGCTCTCAAGGATATCATAATTTTAATCGGTTTCTAAACAATGATATTTACTAAAATTTTGAAGATATTACTTTGGGGTAAAAGTGAATTAAAGTTGAATGCTTAATATTTCGGGAAATCTGTTGTTTTTGCATCAAAAGCTTATTTGAACTCATCTTTACATAAGGATTGTAACAAGAACCTCAGATTTTTCGAAAGATTATGAAATGAACTATTATTTATTTTGATGTTGTTTTTTTCAAAGCGACATAACTGATCACAAAATGTGATGAAAATATAACAAAACGCTTCTAATGATTAGATTATTTGACAATTTATATTAAAATATATTATGAGCGTGTGAAAATATTGCAAAGTACAAACATAATACGTAGACTATAAGTTTATATCTTCAAGTAAACAACTTGTCCAACAGTGTCGGAACCAAAATGGAAAAGGAAAAATTTAACAGAGGTCCCTCCAAAAAGATTACAAAGCCGATTGTAGTTCAAGACTAGGGTACCAACAAAGCAGAGAACCACTAGAACAGAGTACCACTAGAACAGGCTGCCACTAGAACAAGGGGCCACTTTTTGTTCCAGCAAACTGTTTATTCCCATTGTGTTTATAATTCTTTTTTTTCATCGATGCCCCCATGTCATCTTCATCAATCATATTTCGGGTTTGTTCATTCGCAAGTTTGAGGCTTTGGCTGGTCAGCGTTGCCAAAGTAATCATATAATATTTATGGGCAAAAAGTTAAACCTCCAAACATTTTTATATAAATTCGTAATAACAGTGGAGTTATTTTTAAAAATTCCGTTACATAATGATGATATATCTCAATTCAAGTGATAAAACCAAAGCTCCATGACGCAAATTAATGTATGCAGTCTAATGTAGTGAAAGTTTTTGTGACATTCCTATCAGCGGTGTAGCTACGGTTAATGCTTACGGGGGCGGGACAAGTTTTTTGCCGCCCCGTCGAAACTCTGCAGTTGGCCGAAGATGCCGCCCCTCTGCACCCGCTTTCCTATGCCACCGGCTCGTATTAGAGTTTAACAGCTCCTTTAGTCGCGGTCTTGGGAAATTCAATCCCCACCCCAACCCCAAAACAGCATTTAGACATGTAAGCCACTGTCTTGGAGATCAAAAAGGAAGAAACAGCATTTAGAGATGTAAGCCACTATCTTGGAGATCAAAAAGGAAGAAACAGCATTTAGACATGTAAGCCACTAGCTTGGAGATAAAAAAGGACACAAAAAAACTTACTTTATCACGTCTGCTGGATTTGGTCAAACAAATTTTCGGTGGGTCGAATATGGTTGGATCTTTAATCCCAGGTGTAACATCTGACACTAGGACACTGTTGATGGACCCACTGTCCGGCACGACGTCACCAGCAACAAATACCTCCACCACCGGCATACAGACTAATTGAGACGATAAGATATAAACTTCCCACTTTGATATGAGGATATTGTGGTGCATCACTTCGGTTGTAAGGTCATACAATATTTTATCACCGTCATTCGATAAGTGTCAGTCACAAACAAGTATTTAAAAACGGCCCTCAGTCAAACTAATTCCTTTCTTGATATAGCACTGCCAAGATATTGCACAATAGAGCACTGCAATGCAGGGTATTGCACAGTTTAGCACTGCTAGGGTACTGCACAGTATTGCAGTGTCAGCGTACTGCCCAGTATAGCACTGCCAGGGTACTGCATAGCATAGCACTGTCAGGGTACTTACTGCACAGTATAGCACTGCCAGGGTACTGCATAGCATAGCACTGTCAGGGTACTGCACAGTATAGCACTGCCAGGGTACTGCATAGCATAGCACTGCCAGGGTACTGCACAGTATAGCACTGCCAGGGTACTGCATAGCATAGCACTGCCAGGGTACTGCACAGTATAGCACTGCCAGGGTACTGCACAGTATAGCACTGTCAGGGTACTGCACAGTATAGCACTGCCAGGGTACTGCACAGTATAGCACTGCCAGGGTACTGCACAGTATAGCACTGCCAGGGTACTGCACAGTATAGCACTGCCAGGGTACTTACTGCACAGTATAGCACTGCCAGGGTACTGCACAGTATAGCACTGCCAGGGTACTGCACAGTATAGCACTGCCAGGGTACATACTGCACAGCATAGCACTGCCAGGGTACTGCACAGTATAGCACTGCCAGGGTACTGGGGAGCTGGGGTAATTGTAATCCATTACGATAAAATAAAACTACTTTTTTTCGAAACGTTCATCTTTGGAAAGTGCGATTGCAAAAAAAAAACACGGACCCATTTTCAGACTTACTCGCATGCACCTTCACACGGTGCTTCTAGAATTTTTTTCAGTAGGATGGATCATCCGGGGAAATCCAGAATTACTTTTTTTTTTTAAATTTAATTGATTGTTTTTAACTTTAAAACAAGTTTCCACTTCTGCGGACGACCATTTTGAAGACGACTGCCTGTGTGGACTGGCGAGGACCAGACAGAATGTAAGCAGTTGTTAGTAATTGTGGTGAAGCCCATTTAGAGTTCCCCAACAACCTATAGAAAATATCTAGGGTCGCCGCGGCTGCCCTATATATGTAGCATGAAATGTGGAGACAGAACAGAATCTGTGATTTGCTGATATCGCTCATACTCTTAACAAACCGATATAATAAAATTGGGAACCAGGAAAGTTAGATTTAAATAAAGTAAGAAAACCTTCACCCACTGGTCGGATCAATTGTGGCCAGGTAATTTAACGTGGTGCCAGCAGGTGTGAACTGAAAGGTCACGACCTTGGTTTGGTTGTTGCCGAAAAATCCGCTGTTCACTTTTATGGCGTTGTCTAGGTAGGAATAGAAATCAATCTATGTTATGGGAGGAATACTGTCTTTTTCAGTCCTTTTTTACATAATACAATGTGTGATAAAGTATAACACAATGCTGAGATAAGTGTGTTGATCTGTAAATAATAATATTTACATAGGATGACTTCCTGGCTCTCTTTTTCTTCCTCGTTTTCTTAAGTTTCTGTATGTCACATCCCACGCGTTATCATAACAGCTTGACCTGTACCCTAGTCCTAAAAGTACTTAAGCCACATTTTTGCTAAAATCAATCTAAACTGTGATATTTTTGTATCCGGTTTAGCCAAGTGCACTGCATAAATGTGAACACATTAAAATATAAACTAGTCCCGTATTTAAACAAGCCAAAAAATAAGAATGATCAAATTTTATAGACAAAAATAATATTTTAACTGGATCATCTCAAAAATGGGTATTTTGTAGCTTAAGTACTTTTTATACATAGTCTTCAACTTCTGAAGCTCTTTTTAATACGGTCTCTATCTCTCTCTCTCTCTCTCTCTCTCTCTCTCTCTCTCTCTCTCTCTCTCTCTCTTTCTCTCTCTCTCTCTACTCTCTCTCTCTCTCTCTCTCTCTCTCTCTCTCTCTCTCTCTCTCTCTCTCTCTCTCTCTCTCTCTCTCTCTCTCTCTCTCTCTCTCTCTCTCTCTCTCTCTCTCTCTCTCTCTCTCTCTCTCTGTTCTCTCACCTTACCTCTCTACACTCTACACACTCACCAAACTACCTACATGTGAAACCCTTCTAACTTACCCGGGATACACGGTTTCTGCATGGAGCCAACACTTGATTTTTCGCAGTGAGTATCTGTGAACTGATACTGGACACCCTGAAAATAAACTCTCTCTAGATCGAACAAACATTCACTCATGAGTTTCTTAGTTGAATGTAAATGTGTGTTCTATGGCACCTGATGTTTTACATGTGTTACCAACGGATGTGACTATATTTATATCAGGCATGTTGATTTCAGAGACTCAAAAACAAAACCAAAAAAAATAAATAAATGAAACGAATGGGAAATAAAAATAAAAAAAACTAGAACAAGTGTCTGAAATGTTTAAGCTGACGTAAGCATGCCATCAAGATGAAGAGTTTTCGACTTTACATTTCACATAAAGTTGCTCTCTTTAATGGCGTTTAAAAAAACAGCAACATTTCCCTGAGTAATGGAGCAAATCGGGTTTGGAGGTGGGCCCCAACGTCTCCAAGTAATGCGTTTTGTGATTTATCGATTTGGGAACTTCAAATGAGGAACACATATTTGGTGAAGCTGGGGGGAAAAAAAACACACACAAATAATGAATGGCAAAAAAAAAGCTCAAGAGTTCTCACATTTAGCTCAGACACAGTTTCCTAATCTAAGTTTATTTCATCTTTCATTATTCCTTGTTATTCAATTAGTGTTCACTGCATACAGCTTTATGCCGACACCTTACTCTGTAGCAGTTTCCCTCTCCATGTGTTCCTCATTTCGTTTTCTTGAAAGCTGTTACCCCACCCCCTGTCCCTCCCCCATTTGTGTCTACATTTGTATTTTGTAAAATCATCATTAAAGCTGAGCATATATTGTTTTATGTACACAAATTGTTTGTGTCTAATTAATCCCCCCCCCCCCCCCCCCCCCCCCCCCCCCCCATTTGTAAAATCATCCTTAAAGCTGAGCATATATTGTTTTATGTACCCTAATTGTTTGTGTCTAATTAATCCCTCCCCCCCCCCCACACACACACGCGCGCGCGCTCTTTATTTTTTTTTACCCAAAGCATTTAGAAATGATTTTACACGAAATGTTAAAATATTTCAAAAGTCACAAGAGTTCAAATGTTCAAGTGTTACCTTAACGTAGTCGGTAAGTATCGTGTACTCGGACCTGACGGGCTGGGGGATCAGCGGACTCAGCTCTACGGAGACCAACTTGACGTATGTCTTATTGTTGGTGTAGTCGTACGCCGCTTGCGCCGTGCTGTTGGTGTAGCTGTTGAATATTTCAGTTGCATATTTAAAGCATTATTTCAGAGACTATCCTAAGTTCTAAACCCTGTCCAGAGCCGCAGTGTGGACCCTGCAACCGCAGTGTGGACCCAGCAACCGCAGTGGTTGCAGGGGGTCTCGGGGTATTTATGGGCTCAAGGTTGAGATGTGGTAAAACATCAACTTTGAATGCTATGGGCCAAAACGCGAAGAGTGGCACGGGGGGGGGGGGGCTCTAAACGTCCCGGATGGCTCTGTCCAATCTTTCATGTAATATTTGTGATCAAAGTTATTTCTTTATTTCAACACTCAAAACAAAGCCAAAATTACTGTTCCCACATTATTTGAGTTTGTCACTCCACCACTCCACATAAGAACCATTTTCAAAGGCAATGCATATTACATACAACTACTCGTAAAGATTAAGTAAGCACGCGTTTGTGTTTTCGTCATGTTCTGATGACAGTAGCGATGAAGCATATCAATGGATATCAACAGGGCAATTAAAAAAAACGACAGCTTCCTGATTACACAAAAAGTGGAATTGAAGTTCATGATGGCAACTGGACCAGTATCAAGGGTCAAATCTTTAGCGGAAAAAAGAGTGGGGATTCATACAGGATACCCCTTTCCCCTTATTCAAAAATAAATAATATGTAAGCATTTCCAAGCACACAAAAAAGTGCATAGGTCAAGTCCTGACCGTCCTAGAGTTGACAAAATAAGATTACCTGGGTACATAGGTCAAGAAATGACTGTCACAAGTCTACACAATTAGATTACCTGTGTACCTGGCCGTCCGTGAGGGGACACAATAAGATCACCTGTGTACCTGGCCTTTCGTAAGTTGACAAAATAAGATTACCTGTGTCCGTGAGTTAACACTATAAGATTACCTGTGTCCGTGAGTTAACACTATAAGATTACCTGTGTCCGTTAGTTGAAATAATAAGATCACCTGTGTCCGTGAGTTGACACTATAAGATCACCTGTGTCCGTGAGTTGACACTATAAGATCACCTGTGTCCGTGAGTTGACATAATAAGATCACCTGTATCCGTGAGTTGACATAATAAGATCACCTGTGTCCGTAAGTTGACACTATAAGATCACATGTGTCCATGAGTGGTCATAATAAGATCACCTGTGTCCTTGAGTTGACACTATAAGATCACCTGTGTCCGTGAGTTGACATAATAATGTTACCTGTGTCCGTGAGTTGACATAATAAGATCACCTGTGTCCTTGAGTTGACACTATAAGATCACCTGTGTCCGTGAGTTGACATAATAAGATCACCTGTGTCCGTGAGTTGACATAATAAGATCACCTGTGTCCGTGAGTTGACATAATAAGATTACCTGTAAGCGGTGTTGGCGTCAATAAAAACGTTGGCGTTGTCATAGATCAAATTCGCCTCGAACTGGTCGGGCACACAGCAGATATCCCCGCACACCGTGGCGGTGAGTACAACACTGACCAGTCCGGCCACGGCTCTCCACGGCTGGGACAAAATAGACCAGGGAAACATCTCGTTTAATATGTGTGATTGCCTTGCCACGTATTCTCCTAGCACAAAGCTCAATGGAAAAGTTTCATACTAATGTATCGTGTAATGTAATGAACCTAGTCATTATCGTATCTCATAGTGATAAAGCTGAGACCGATGTCAAACGGTGATCTTACATTCGCATGTGTTACAGATAGCTACGGTACCGAAAAGCTTTATCAGATAACCTGCACTGCAACGCTTACAAAACAAGCCCCTAAACAAAACAAAAAAAAACGTTAGAGACTACGTGGCCTACGGTAGAGACTACGTCGCCTACTGGCATTAAGTCTTGGTTTAGCCCAGTGGCGTAATAATAAAAAAAAAAGTATTTTAAAAAAATGCCTATCTGTCAAAACGAGTTAAAACGCACTAAAAAGTAAACAAAAAATAATAATAATTTCAAATTTCTTAAAACGCATTACACAAAGAAATACTTTCAGAACTGTGGAGGAGCACTCTATGAAGCCAAAGAAAGAATGTGCACAAGTGTAGAGGAGCACTCTATGGAGTCAAAGAAAGAATGTGCACAAGTGTAGAGGAGCACTCTATGAAGCCAAAGAAAGAATGTGCACAAGTGTAGAGGAGCACTCTATGAAGCCAAAGAAAGAATGTGCACAAGTGTAGAGGAGCACTCTATGAAGCCAAAGAAAGAATGTGCACAAGTGTAGAGGAGCACTCTATGAAGCCAAAGAAAGAATGTGCACAAGTGTAGAGGAGCACTCTATGAAGCCAAAGGGTCCGAACTGAATGGAGAAAAAAATTAAATGTGTTATAATTTTGTTAATTTTTTAAAAATATATCCTACACATCCTTTCTTTGCGTACCCGATAATGCATTTTAAATTAAATTATGTTCTACTTTTGGGTGCGTTTTAACGTGTCTTTTTATAGAAAGTTTTTTGGTAGGGCTTTGTACATTATTTCCTACTTTTTAGTATTAACATTTTAATCTTTCAGTAATCGACAAAAGTGGAATTTTTTTCTTTTTGAAACATCGAATGGTTACGAATTCCCGGTTGAAGTGATTTAGGTCTTCATCTAGGCATAAAACTAGATATTAGCTCACTCACACACCCGTTCACCCACACACCCGTTCACCCACACACCCGTTCACCCACCCGCTAAGCAGACGCGGTCAAACCCAATAAACTGAGCGACAGTGTCGACCCAGGAGTCGATACGATGTTGACACAACTCAGTTGCAACAATGCGATCAACACCTTTCAGGTGAGCGCTGTAACTAGGCGATTAACACCTTTCAGGTCACCACAGCAACAAGGCGATCAACACCTCTCACGTGAGCACTTCACCAAAAATTGATCAGCTGAGCGAAAATGTCAGGTGTGTAAACAAAACAACAATACAAATAACAACGCTCCATCCATCCATCCACACCTCCACTAGATGGAAATGCTAGTCTTTAAAAAGTGGGTGAAGAGTGAGCAGGGGTGTTCCGCCCCGGGTATCACTTTTTTTAAAAATCTATACAGAGGGCGCCATTTTCAGCCAACTGGCGAGTTTTATTCGTGGAAGTGGGGTCTGCCCCGGGTGGAATAAATCCTAGCTACGCCACTGGTTGACCTATTTTAAAAAAATGGTGGCAATAAGGCCTAGATGTTGATATCGATTTTAAGTGCTGTTAAAAATCTTCTTTTGTACAAGTGGAAGATAATATATATTTGTTTTAAAAGTATATCTGAATTTCAAAAGGCAAAAAGAAATAATCAAGAAAGCAACATCAGATAAATAAATTATTTAGCACTCAAAGTTTAAATTATGGATCAAATAATATGCAAAGTTACCATTATAATATTTATGAAATGGGGTAAATGCAATTTTAATTTGCTTAAATTAAAAAAAAAAACATATTCTGATTTTATTGATTACTTATTAATTCCCAGACCGGCAAAATATCATTATAACCTTATCTACACATTGATGTAACTTAAGACAGCCCAACTTAATTAGCTCAATATCTCCCCCCCCCCCACCCCCCCCCAAAAAAAAACAACTCCCAACAAGTTTTTTAAAAAATATATTACATAATAATAAAATACAAACCATTAAAAAAAAAATAAATAAACGCATAGGGCCTATTATTTTCAATTCAGTTATGAAAAAAAAAATGTTAATGAAAAATACTTTTAATATTAATGTTCTTTTATATAAATTTTAAAAGCAATGAATCTATATATTACGTACGCATTCATTGCGAAGAATGGGTGTTGCTGACTTTTGCTATACAGTGGTGACACTAATAGTAGCTACGCCTCTAGGAAGTGTATCTATCGTCACCAAAATTAAGGACCATTTTTATCGGGGCGTAGGGTAAAATGAATCTTGTTTTTATTTATATAAATAAAAGCAAGACAAAGATCATAAAGGTAAATTCAGCCAACCAAGAGCATATCTGTCTGGTAGGATATGCACTGGAAGAAGTGGAGGCTTTCACATACCTCGGCAGCATCATTGACTTAAATGGTGGATCGGAAACTTATGTCTGGGCTAAATTTGGAAAGGCTGGGTCAGCATTTGTGGTATCAAAGAAAATATGGGAGTCAAAGGAGATGACTCTTCAGACCAATTTTAGAATTTTCAACACGAATGTCGAAACAGTCTTATTATATACTAGGAGATCTTCACACGTGAGGAGTAGGGATCGCAAAACCGGTGCCTTTTGCCAAAACCGGTATTTTCGATATTGAAGTTTACCAATACCGGAATCCCGGTATTTTCGATATTTAGAGAATTTTTAGTTTAGGTTCAAGATTAACGGTTAGGACTTATCAATGAAATAAAAACATTCAGAAAAATATCACATTTTAATATTTAATAAGCTTTTAACAATTACACAAAGGTTTAACTTCAGACTTTAATCCAATGAAAAAAATAAGAATATTATTATTTTACCCTACGCCCCGATAAAAATGGTCCTTAATTTTGGTGACGATAGATACACTTCCTAGAGGCGTAGCTACTATTAGTTAAGAATGTTAAGAATATTAACATTTGAAATTTAAAAAGTTTTATTGATCAAATATTAAAATAATTGGTGTTGTTTTAATCTTTTGAAATTTAAATAATTAAACTGTAAAACTGACAAAGTGTATAATGTTTGGTCACTTAACTTTGACCGCCAATGGTTACAAAAGTAACCCGATGAAGAGAACACCCGCTCTGACTCCACACTGGTCGGAGGTGTAGACCTTACTTAGGCTATCATACGCTATTTCTAGATATTTTCCTCTTGAACCGCCATTCTTAAAGCCATGTCTATTTTATCAGATCCAAGATGTTCAATTTCATTGATCATAGATATTTCCAACAAGGAAGCCGCTGTCTGACCAAGATTTTGAATATCCACGATATGTTTGCGCATCTGGTCGCAATCTGGCCTTAGAAATACGTCCAAGTAGTCACTGGAATGTGCAGACTTTAAATGAGAGTGTAGGCCTGAAGTTGTTCCTCCTAATGTTTTAAGTATCTCGTTACATCTAATACATTTAGCTTATGATTGTCCGTAGCTTTCAAGAAATAATGCCAAGCTGATGTCTTTCTTTCCGAGTGTTTCATATGCTTTTCAAATTTAGGTTTATTTTTTTCAGGGTCCCCCATTTTTTTATATCATCCTGAAGGGTAAATTTATCATTACGAAATGTTTTTTTTAATTCAATCAAATTGGTTTGACGTGTACAACTTTTTTGTTTTAATGTTTTAATGTTCATGTAAATGTTTGGCTAAGTTAGTAAGTACCGTACAGACAAACTGGGAAATTCAGCCTGAGACAAAGTAGCTCGAAAATCAATTATGAGGTGAATGTAATTTATTAATATTGTTATCACAAAATAGAAGTAACTTAATTTTTAAACATAAGGTATTGATTATCAAAATACTAATTTACTCATATTTTTAAATATGTAGGTTTTTAGGCATAATTAAAAGAAATAAAGCAATCACAATTTTTTTTTTTTATTTTAAAGTTGACCCCGTGATTGGAGTGCAACGTGTTATTATTTCCATACAAAATCTTAAAGGAAGTCAAAATTCGATCTTCACTCGACTATACCAATCACTTTTTCGTCAATAATATGAGAACATTCACTTACCAATCCTGTACGTTCACGTCGTGGCTCGCCTCCACTTATGCTCTACACATGCACGATGAAAAAACAAAACCAATCACAACATCATGATTCTCGACAAATAAGAGTACACAGATCCAGCCAGATCTTTGAACGTGAGACACCTGGTGCGAGGGATTTGCACATCACATATTATTTATATGTCTTGCTTTAACTACGACTTGGAAAATAAGAAAAACGATTTAAAAAAAAATTGAAAATGAAATCCCGGGCTTATCGAAAATCCCGGTTTTCATAAATCCAATCCCGGTTTTTTTAAACATCAATTATGGTCCGGTATTCCGGTATTTTCGAATTTCGGGATCCCGGATTGCAACCCCTAGTGCGGAGACCTCCTGTCTGCTATGCGCCTTTATTTACACTTTTCAATTTTAAATTATTGTAACTAGATTTTCTTATTTATTACACACCTGTTTACCCTTTAACTTCTAAACTCGTACAATATCGTCTCCAGACGCCTAAAAGAAACCCTGGTTGGGGGTTCGCGCATGGATGCGAAAAGCCATGGATCGATCCGAATTAGAGACCGACCGAATTTCAGCTTCGGTTTCGGCGCCGAAAGTGGCCATTTTATCACTTTCGGCCAAGTTTCGGTTTCGGACGAAACTGAAAAGTTAACTTTCGGTTTTTCTTCGGTTTCAGCCGAAATTGACTTAGACTTTCGGCCGATGGCCGAAAGTGACTCAGGTTTTCGGTCATTTTAATACTCAGTGAAAGCGATATTTAACAACAAACTAAGCCACATTTAAGAACAAATTAAGCGATCTTTGAGAACAAACTAAACGATATTTAACAACAAACTAAGGGACATTTAAGAACAAACTAAACGATCTTTAAAACAAACTAAGCGATCTTTAAGAACAATCTAAGCGATCTTTAAAACAAACTAAGGGACATTTAAGAACAAACTAAACGATCTTTAAAACAAACTAAGCGATCTTTAAGAACAATCTAAGCGATCTTTAATAACAAACTAAACGCTCTAATAGAACAAACTAAACGATTTTTAAGACCGAACTAAATGATCTTTAAGAACAAAACAAATTATCTTTAATAGTAAACTAAATGATTTATAAGAATAAACTAAGCGATCTTTAACTGAAAACTAAATGTTCTTTAGGAACAAACTAAAAGATCTTTAAGAACAAACTAATCTATCTTAAGGAACAAAATTAATTATAGTTAAAAACAAACTAAGCGATCTTTATGAACAAACTAATAGATCTTCAACAACAAACTAAGCGATCTTTAAGAACAAACTAAACGATCTTTATGAAAAATCTAAGCGATCTTTACAACAAACTAAGCGATCTTTAACAACAAACTAAACGATCTTTAACAAAAAACTAAACGATCTTTAACAACAAACTAAACGATCTTTAACAACAAACTAAACGATCTTTAACAACAAACTAAACGATCTTTACCAACAAACTAAATGATCTTTATTAACAAACTAAATGATCTTTAACAACAAACTAAACGATCTTTAACAACAAACTAAACGATCTTTAACAACAAACTAAATGATCTTTAACAACAAACTAAACGATCTTTAACAACAAACTAAACGATCTTTAACAACAAACTAAACGATCTTTAACAACAAA